GTTTAATCCCTGGTACCTCCCCCAAAAAAATTCCAATTCAATCACATTGTTTCACACTGATCCAATATTCCTTATTCCTATGTGTCTTCTCTCTAGTTGTTCTATGAGTTTCTGGGAAAAAAGTATTAAAATCTCCAACTGTAATTGCTGAATTATCTTTCTGCTTTCAATTCTGTTTTTGCTTTGTATGCTTTGAGGCTTTGCTGATGGGAGCATATACATTTGTTGTTGCTAAATATCCTGTTTAATATTGTTATCCATTCTCACTCCTTGTGATTACTGACTGCATGATACATCCTTCCAGCCCTTTACTTTCAACTTGTTTGTGTCTTTTTATTTAAAGTGCATGGTTTTTGGACAGTGTTGCGTCTTTTTTTGTCCTCTCTGAAGTCTTTGCTTTTGGAATGTTTAGTTCACTCACATATAATGTAATTTTTTATATGATTAACTTATGTTTTCAATTTTCCATTTATTTTCTGTATTTCTCAGTCCTTTTGGTTCCTCTCCTATGTTTGTGTTCAAAAACATTTAGTGTACCTTTTTCATTTCCAGTGTTTTTTTGTCTCCTTTTTGGTCTTTATGTCTCATGTTATTTTTCTTCAGAAGTTCCTCAAGTATATTTTCAATGTAGCACTTCACTTTTATTAATGATCAATTTTTAAAATTATTTTTGAGTATTTTTTTCTTTTCTTTTTTTTTTGGTTGGGTTGGTGTTTGTTTTGTGCTGGGAATGCAACTAAGGGTCACATATGCTAAACATGTCCCCTACCACTAAGTTCTATTCCCAGTCTCCTCTTTTTTTTAACCGATTTTTTTTTTAAGATTTATCATATATATCTTAATTTGTCAAAATCAGTTTCAGTTATATACTAGCTTGATTCTAGTAATATATAGAACTATTATTCCTATATATTTCTATTTTATTTCTTCTCTTATAGTGATAGTTATATATTTTATTTCTACTTATGTTAAACACTCAATGATGCATTGCTATAATTTTTATCTTACCACTTTTAGTCATTACAGCTTCAGCCCCACTTCTACTTTGTGCTGTTATTGGCAAAAATATTATACCTAGATTATATTTCTGTATGTTATGAGCCAAATATTATACTTGGTTACATTTATATTATTTTATAATTGTTTTTAGAATCAGTTAAGGGACAAAAGAAGAAAATATGAATTTATAGTGTTTGTTCATGTGGATTTGAATTACTGTCTAGAACTATTTGCTTTCCTTTTGAAGAACAACTTTTTAGATTTCTTGAAAGGTAGATCTGCTAGCAACACATTCTGTTCAGCTGGTAAAGTTTTAATTTATCTTTTATTATTGAACATTAGCTTTTCTGGCTATAGGATTTCTGGCTGACAGTTATTTTTCTTTGAGCACCTGTTAGAAAATGTTTTCTCATTGACTTTTGGACTCCAAGGTTTCTATTGAGAAGTCAGCTGTTAATATTATTTGGATACATTTTCTAAGTGATGCACTGTTTTTCTCTTATTATTTTCAAGATTTTCTCCTTGTCTTGGACTTTCAGCATTTCTACTATGATGCTTCTGTTGAGTGTGTCTGCATTTATTCTACTTGCAGTTTGTTGAGATTCCTAGATATATTGGTTAATATTTTTAAAGAAACTTTAGAATGTTTTTATCTTCTATTGAGTCAAATATTTTTCCTTCTCCTTTTTCTTCTCTTCTTTCTCTACTTCCAATATGACTGTATTAGTGGGCTTAGTGTTGTTCTATCTCTCTCTAAGACAGTGTTCATGTTTCCCAAGTCTTCGTCCAATATTTTAGCCTACATAATCTGTACCTATGTATCTTCAAGTTTGTAAGTTTTTCTGCCAGCATACAACAGTTGTTGAGCTCTGTTTTAATTTTTTAGGGCTGTCATAACAAGGTACAACTGAAATTTATTTTTTCCCAAACCTGTGGCTTACTTAGAAGCCAGAAATGAAGTTATTGTCCTTATGAAGGGTGTGGAGGAAGAATGTGTTCTAGATCTTTCTTCTTGGCCTGTAGTTGGCTATCTTACTGTTCACATAATGTATTCTGTGTTTGAGACACTAGTCAGATTGGATGTAGGAATATCATAATGTCTCCATTTTACCTTGATTTCCTCTTTTGAAATTCTATCTTCAAATAAAGGCACATTTTAAAGTACTGGTGGATAGGGCATCAACATATGAATTTTGGAGTAATATAATTCAACCCATAACAAGCCCCTCTAGTGAATTTCTATTTCAATTATTATACTTTTCAGTTACATAATTTCCATTTTGTTATTTTTCATAATTTCTTTATTGATATCAGTTTGATACCACACTATCTTTTATCTTCCTTTAGTTCTGTAATTAAGCTTTCTTTTAGTACTGTGAACATACTTACAGTGGCTACTGTGAAGTCTTTTTCTGTTAAATCCAGCATCAGATCACTCTCTCAGTCAGTTTCTTTTGCCTGCTTCCCCCCACCCCCACCCCACACTGTGAACTATAATTTCTTTTTTCTTTATACATTTCGTAATATTTTGTTAGACGTGGGACATTTTAGATAATATATTGTTAGCACTCTGTGATAGTCTCCTACCCACCACCATTCCTGATCTGAAATGGTTGATTTTTGAGGGACAATTTTTTCATTTTGTACCTCTGTGTGAGTAGGGAAATCACTGACCTCTTTATACTATATTACTTTGGGTGGTGTTTTGAATACCAAATGAAAAATGATAGATTTTATAAAATAGATGGTAGATTTTATAAACTTCTGATAGCGTTTATAGAGTAAAGCAGCTTCACTATTTGTGAGATCACATCTAAATGATTTCCACTCAGTAGTGCTTCATTATAACTCTAATTGGTTGCCAGTACCTTTATTCCACCATTGGAAGTGCATTTTCTCATTAATCCTTAACGTGACGGGGTGAATTAAGTTTATACAACAGTCTATTTTAGAAAAAAAAGATAAATAATTTTTTTTTGAAAAGGTGAACAATCATCAGAGAAAAAGGCCAAAGAATATGAACAGGTAGTTTTCAGAAGAAGGAACATAGACTGATATTAAACATAAAAGAAAACTCTTCTAAAGAAATTCAGTTTAAACCAAGTATAAAATTCTATTTTCTATTAAGTTGGCAAAGATTTAAAATATCGATAATATCTAGTATTAATGAAAATGTGGGGGTAAGTGAGCTCTCATTATTATTACTTTGGAAGCATCTATTGGAATTTAAAATACACATGCCATTTTGCCCAGCAATTTAAAGTGTGTGAGAGATATAGGAACTAATGTAAAGATTAGTAATTGCTGAATTTTTATAGTAGAAAAAAGTTAAAAGCAACATAAATGTTCATTAATGGAAACTTGTTTTAGTTTTCTATTGCTGGAACAAAATACCTGAGAAAATCAGTTTAAAAGAGGAAGGACTTGTTTTGGCTCACTATGTTTCAGAGGTTTCAATTCATTTCACTTGGTTCTGTTGTTTGTGGTCCTTGGTAAAGCAGAACATCATGTTGTGGAGTAAAGCTGCTCACCTCATAGTGGCTGGAAAGCTATGAGAAAGAAAAGGACCAGGGACAAAATATACCCTTCAAAGGCACCTCCCCAGGGACTCACTACTTCCAGCTAGACCCTACCTCCTAAAATAGCATCACCAACTGGGAACCAAGCCTTCAACACATGAGCCTCTGGGATATTCCAAGTCCAAACTATAACAAAATTCAGTGGCCTTCCATCAAATGGAAAACCACCCAGTTGTAGGAAAGGAAGAGATGATATCTTTTTAAAAGGCAGGTTGGTTGTTTCTTTATATATTATGTATCATTATATTTGTGTATAAATAGAGTAATTGGGAAGGATAATATACTTCTCTATAAAGTATCTTTGAAATATAGTTAGTGGAAGGAGGAAGATTGGGGAGTGTCATTTCTAAATTGCTTACTTTTTAAAACAACAGTTATGTATTAAATTTGTATTTTTTATTTAAAAGGAAAATATGCATTACATAACATCTTCCAAATTTATTAATTAGGAACTACATACTTATACATGAATTACAGTGAATTTTTCTGGTTTATTTTCTATTTAAGGATTTAAATGTGAAGATTTATTAATTTACAGAGGTTAAGAGAATGCTTTCTATCAGCTGGAAATTATGTACAAAAAAATAATTTCAATTTTAAGATTTGAAACATCTTTCAAAATCATAATCTGGCTTAAAGAGAACGTTACGTATATCTAGCATATTGAAAAAGTTTTTTTTTACTGAGAAATGAAAAATTTAATAATCATAAAATCCATATCATAGCAAACATTCATTATTAGTATATTTCATGTAAAATTATGTTGGGTTTAAGAATAAAAATTTTGTTGTTGTTGTTGGAACTGGGGATTGAACAGAGGGATACTTAACCACAGAGCCACATCCCCAGCCCTTTTTATTTTTTATTTTGAGATAGGGTCTCAGTAAGTTGTATAGGCTCTTCCAAAGTTGTTGAGGATGGCTTTGTTATCCTTCTACCTCAGCCTCCTAAGCTGCTGGGACTGCATGTGTGCACCATCACACCTGGCTAGAAAGTTACTTTAATTAAATTGGCTTGAACAATAAAAAGCTTTGAGTCTGTGGAAACAGATAGTAAAACAATTTCTATAAAGGCAATAGAAGATTTTTCAGTATTTGCATATCAAAATATTTTATTTTAAAGTCTTTTTTCTTTTTTAATATTTATTTATTTATGTGTTTTTTTAGTTTTAGGTGGACACACATTATTTTGTTTTTGTGTGGTGCTGAGGATTGAACCCAGTACCTCATGCATGCTAGGCGAGCACTCTACCACTGAGCCACAACCCCAGCACCAAGTCTTTTTTCTTTTATGGATGTTATCTTGTAATAAATATTTTTTTATTAATTTTATAGTATTTCATAAATTTAAAGCAACTATAGACTATCTAATCATATGTGTGTAATAAATTTTTTTACATTATGGAATTGTATGTTTTCACAGGTTTCGTCTTGATATATATCGATGCTTGGCCAGTCCAGCTCTAATAATGTTAACAGAAGAGGATCCAATCCTAAGAGCATTTGAACTTAGTGCTGATTTAAAAGAACTAAGCCTTGTGGAGGTGGAATTTAGGTGGGAATGAATGGAAATTTTAAATTGCATAATACCTTTTGTGGCAGAATATTCATCTTGAAGTTCTTGATAGAACAAATTATAATTTATATTTACTTACAATTTATTTACATTTGATTCTAGATGACCAAACCTTGATACCTCTTACTTGGGAATTTTCCTTTTCCCTCAAAGGAACAGATCTGTGCTGTTTTATTTAAGTTATTCCTTCCCCATCTTCTCTCTTATACTCTTTAACCACCCTTATTCCCCCAGGGAAAGCTTTGAGATTTTCCTTTATGGCAGAGTTATCCTTAGTACCCTCTGAAAAAGGAGAAATTGAACCAGCTCGTATTGCAAGGGTTTTGCAGGGATTTATGCCTAAACCCACCTTTTCCCTCCTCCAGCAACCTGACCCAAGTGGGAAAGTTCAGACTTTCACACTGAATAAAAATACCTGTTTATAAGTTTAAATTTTTTCACTTAATTTGGATACATTAAATTTTATTTAAATTTGATAGAACAAAGTAGTACTTTGATTAACTCAAGTCATGGTTAAAATTAAATTTTTGCTACTTTTAAAGTATCAGCACACAACACTACTAATAAATTATTTTGCTTAAATATGAATAATTTTCTGTTGCAGTCTCATATTTTGAGTTCTGAGTCACCATATGAAATAGAATTTATTCAGTTCATTCCGAGAAGGATTTGAAACAACTGCTGTGATTATGCTATGATCAGAATAATAAAGTTAGATTTGGAAGTGATCATAGAACTCATTTACATTATCCAGTGTTTTGTTTTGTTTTTTAAATATTTTTAGTTGTAGATAGACACAATACTTTATTTTGTTTATTTAGTTTTTATGTGGTGCTGGGGATCAAACCCAGGGCCTCACATTTGCTAGGTAAATGCTCTCTCTCACTGAGCTACAACCCCACCCCTATCCAGTGTTTTTACAGACAGAGAAAGAGGTATACACAGACTAGTTGGTTTATTAATATTAACATTTAAAAATAGAAGCAAAGTTATAACTAGAACATAGGACTTCTTGCTGCTAGTTTACCATATGTCCATCTAAACTGTATAGCCACTTACTTTTCTTTTAATAATCTAGAGATTAAGCAAATTAGATTGACAAAATGTATTAATTCACCTTTAAATTTAGTGTTCTATCAAAATGTTTATGTAATGATGAGATAGCTTTGAGATAATATACATTTCTGATGAATGTTCCCATTTGCAATTAGGTTCTTAAACAAAGAAGCAGGTAATAACTCATGTGTTAAAGAAATCCAGTTGCCTGTTCTCAGGTTATATAGTAAATACAAAGAATGAGAGAACTGTTAGCTTCTAAGAAAAAGAAGTTTTTATTCTTTGAGTTATAATTTCATGCAGCCAGTTCATGGAAAATTCCATTGTAAAGGAAGACTAAAAAAATGGAAAGTCTTATTTTCCCTTCCTTTCTCCTGGGAGAAAAAAACTGAATAAACATTACTTAATGAAGTTCACCCTCATGTTACTGGCTCATAATTATTTATTTCTAACCTCATTCTTAAATCTTAAATTGTTATTAAACTTATACATAAGTTTAATGTAACTGATTTTTAAAAATTTTTTTAATTGTCAATGGACCTTTATTTTATTTATTGATATGTGGTGCTGAGAATCGAACCCAGTGCCTCACACATCCTAGGCAAGTGCTCTGCCACTGAGCCACAACCTCAGCCCGTACTGATATTTTTTAAATTAATTATGTACTAAAACTTTGTTTCTTACAAACTAGGTTAGATCTGCCTTTAATAAGCAATTCAAAGAGAAGTAAAGTTTAAGCAATAGTTATTCTGAAAGTAAGTTCTTTAGTAAGTAAATTTTAGTATCTCTCTAATTTCATTCAAGTAAGCACTTTTAAATACAAATCAAAATAATTTTTAATATTAGAATTAACATAAATGTAGGCTATTGAAAAGTCCTCTGGTTAAAATTATTTAATAATATTAATCAGATGACATTAAAATGTTATTTGTATTTATATTATTAATAAAATAGGAAATCTTAGCCAAACTTATAGAGAATAAAACAAATGAGTTAAGTGGACACTGATGGATGAATATTATTAGAATTTCCAGGAATATCAATCTATATAAGGAAACATGGTGCTCATCTAAGATTATCAGTATGAACATCATTGTGTTACAGTTTTCCCCAAAGCCCTGGAGAATTTGTGTATCAGTAAGGTCATTCAACTGTCAGCAGAAAAAGAAAGACTTCAGATTTTTTCTAGTGAATATAGTGTAATTGGAAAATGGAAGTGACATTTCTAATAGATTAATGCTTTTTTTTTTTCTCCCCCAGGAATGATTATGAGGAACTAGCCCGACAATGCAAAATGTTTGCTAAAGATTTGCTTGCACAAGCCCGGAATTCACGTGAGTTGGAAGTTATCCTAAACCATACTTCTAGTGATGAACCTCTTGACAAACGGGGACTACTGGAAGAAAGAATGAATTTAAGTCGTCTAAAACTTGCAATCAAATATAACCAAAAGGAGGTATGAGGATTTCTGTGATATATTTAAATTATTTTCTCCACCATTGTGTAGTGGCTCAGAGCAGAGGCTTTGGAGCAACATATCTGGGTCAAGATCCTACTTCTGCTTCTTGTAATTGTGTGTCCTTGGGAAAGTTATTGAATCTGTCTGAGCTTTAGTTTTAATAATTAATTAAAAATATGTATTTAAAGGTTTTAGCATGGCAAGTACTAGTATTTAGCAAGTAATAAATGGTAGTTACTATTCCTTTTAATAATTTATATTAGTTAAAATAATATGGTTGCTGATTTTAATGTTTTGCTAACTAGTAGCTACACAGGTAAACTTTTACAGTGAAGTTTCTACCTGTGTTTTTATCTGTTACAGGTTTGTCTTATTGAACTGGTTATAAGTAGCCCTTTCTATAGTAAATAGTAATTTCTATTTAAAAATAAAGTATCAGATATGATGTTTCCTGATTCTTTTTATTTGTAATTCATTGTAAAACCTAAAGGTGGAGAGGCGCATGATATAACTAAGTTGAATCTGACTCTTCTGGCATCATCCCTTCCTATTAAGGGAAATACCCATTTCTACTCCCCATACACACACATACACATGATTCAGGAACTTGAAGAATGAAGGTATGCATTTTAAATTTTATTTCTTGAGGTATTCACTAAACAATGGTATTTATATGTAGATAGTGATATCTAGTTGATAGTATGGGATGTTGATAAATGATACTTTTTTAAGGTGTCACTTCTAAGACTCATTTTCTTTGTCAACATAGAGATTTGGAATAAAACTTGCTTATGAAATTTATATTACTACAAAACTGGATCCTAAATTAGATGATGGCTAACGGCAAAGTCAGGACCTTTGGTACTAAGATCAGAATTTTTTATTGTTGTGGTTGAAAATTTGATCCTCACAATAGCTTTTTGACAGCTGGGTGCAGTGGTTCATGCCTGAAATGCCAGCCTCTTGGGAGGTTGAGGCAATAGGATCACAAGTTCAAAGCCTCAGCAACTTAGTGAGAGGCCCTAAGCAACTTAGTAAGACCCTATCTCAAAATTAAAAAAAATAAAAAGAGCTGGGGGTGTGGCTCAATGGTAAAATGCCCCTGGGTTCAATTCTTGGTACCAAAAAAAAAAAAAAGACCTGGAATTGTAGCTCAGAAAGAGATTGCCTGCCTAGCATGAGTTGGGAGGCCCTGGGTTCAATCCCCAGTACCATCTATAAGAAAAAAATAGAAGTTAAAAAGATAAAAACAATAGTTTTATTTTTAAATTTTTTAGTGTTTGTTCATTTTAGGTGAACACGACAGTAGAGTATATTTTGACATATTATATGTACACAGAGTATAACTTATTCTAATTACAATCCCATTCTTGCAATTGTACCTGATGTGCAGTTTAAAACAATAGCTTGTGGACTTAGGAAATAGATATGGGAATTTAACAGTGTTTACTTCAAGATTACCTAGATAATATATTGCTTCTCTAGAACTTCGACTTAAAATCCTATACTTTTCATACTACTCCCAAGTTTCTTGCTCAAGGTGGGAACATTTAATGGGAAAAAAAAGTAAGTATAAATATCTAAGTCAGTATAGATTTAATTTTACCCATCAACAGTGCACTCATGCTGCTTGAAAAGGAAAGTCAGTGCTAATGAGTGCTAGTACAAATGGGTGATGTAGGCTTCTTCATTCACATGTCTGTGTCCAGTCAGCAGTCAAAGACTTGGAATATCAAGGTCTAAGTAGGCTGGATACTCAGGTGGTTGAGTCTACAGAGCATAGAGCATCTGAGAATTTAAACTGGAACTTTGGAGGAGCATGGCCATACAGAGGGCAGGTTGTGATTAGGTGGTCCAAAAAACATCTGACTGCTAATTGGAATGCTTTCCTGCAGTATGTAGCTTGGACTTCACAGGGTGGTGAATTCAGTGCAAAACAGGACTTTTTTTTGTATTTATTTTTTAGTTGTAGTTGAACACAATATCTTTATTTTATTTATTTATTTTATGTGGTGCTGAGGATTGAACCCAGGGTCTCGCACTTGCTAGGCAAGCACTCTACCGCTGAGCCACAACCCCAGCCCTGCAATAGGACTTTTTACAGAGCAGTTTATAACTCCAAGAGCAAGTTTTCTAGCATGCAATCTGAAAGAAACATGGCCTTTAAACACTTACCTTTGTCACATAGCATCACTTCTACTAGAATCTGGTGTTAGAGCAATCACGAGCTTATCAAATTGAAGGATAGGGAATAGTGATTCTTTTCTCTGCCCAACACCTCTTGATGACAAGAGTTTCAGAGAATCTGTGTCCATGTTTCAAAACCACCGTAGCCTTAGAACATTTGTAATTGAAATGTTGTTCTTCCAGATATTATTTAACTTCACTGCTAATTATATAAACGAATGGTAAGAATAGTAATCAGTCCTGAGTTTGCTTTGACATTTGGGGGAGAGGCAAAACCATTGGGGTGTTATGACACAGGGTAGTTAATGGGAAGAAAAACTTGTTTCCCATGTATTTCACCCTGAGGAACAAATTAAGATTTCCAGGAACACTAGAATCTGAGCAGAACAAAGACTAAAGTAAGTCCTAATTGCTAAAAATAAGTACAGTGTATTAGAAAAATTTTTCATAAGCACAATAAACAATCACATAACTGTCCAATTCATTTTTTTCATTACAGTGTTATATTCTACAAGTTATATTCTATCTGAGGATAAATCTTTTTAAGACAGAAGATTAATCAAATGTTATTTTACATTACCCAAATAATAATGTAATTATTACCCATCTATTTGTGCTTTACAAAATTATTTTTGATAATCTCAAACCTGATCAAATTTGGATCCAGAGTTATTAGGACACTTAAGTTATACTTTACAACATGAGTATTATATTGGAAAAATATAGTGAATGAAATTTGTAGACTAGAAAAGTTTATAAAGTTTGGTAAATTTCTGTACTTGAACTAAAATTTCCTTATTTGGGAATATTTTCCCTTTTCTGCTCACATGCAATTCAGTTTTAAGCAGTGTTAGAGTATCTTTAATACATTTTAACACATTTTCAGGGAACATGACTAGATCTAGGATGTAGATTCTTTTGTTATCTTGACATTGATTTCTTTACTTTTTTATTTTTATTTTTTATTTTTGGTTGGACACAGCACCTTTATTCCATTCATTTTTAATTTTATGTGGTTCTAAAGCTTGAATCCAGGGCTCCATGCATGCTAGGTGAGCGCTCTACCGCTGAGCCACAGCCCCAGCCCCGACATATTGATTTCTTGCAACTAAAATTAGCAGGTTTTCTAGAATGAAGACATTCAAAGATTAGTTAGTAGTATCTCTTTCTATGGCTTTTGCATGTTAACTTTGACATTTTATAAATTATGAGTCTTTATAAAGGTTTATAAAAGCTAATACTCTTAAAAGAGTCTTTAGGTGTGACAAAATAGCTCAGTAGGCTAATAATAATGCAATACTGCATGCTAAGAACAAAGCACTGTTCATAAGAGCTTTGTATTGAATCTTCACAAGTTTATGAGTAGCTATTATTATCTGAACATTAGAGATGAGAAATTTGAGGCTTAGAGAGGTTTAAAAACTTGCTCAAGGGCACTTAGTAAGTGGCAGAGCCTGGATATGAGTCTAAATAATCTGGCTCCAGAGTCTATGCTCTTAACCTGTGCACTCTTTGATTAGTTGTAAGAAGAAAAGAAAAAAAAAATCCTATGTTTATTGTATAGAGTTGATTTTTAAACTAGTATTAAGACTTTGAATTTTGAATATCAATTAATCAGTTAGTATTTAAAGGTTTTGTTTTGCATTTTTTTTTTTTTTATGTCTGTGTATGTCCTTTTCAGTTTGTCTCCCAGTCTAACTGCCAACAGTTCCTGAACACTGTTTGGTTTGGACAGATGTCAGGTTATCGACGTAAACCCACCTGTAAGAAGATAATGACTGTTTTGACAGTTGGCATCTTTTGGCCAGTTTTGTCACTGTGTTATTTGATAGCTCCCAAATCTCAATTTGGCAGAATCATTCATACACCTTTTATGAAATTTATTATTCATGGAGCATCATATTTCACATTCTTGCTGTTATTGAATCTGTACTCTCTCGTCTACAATGAGGATAAGAAAAACACAATGGGGCCAGCCCTTGAAAGAATAGACTATCTTCTTATACTGTGGATTATTGGTGAGTATCAAGTTAGTTCAAAAGAATTTGCCTTGTTTAGCACATTAATTCTTCCTTGTTTGATGGCACTATGAACATTGAATTCAATTTATAATTTTACACAGTTCATGCAGCAAGAATTTGAACATTTCCATAATCATTGAAGATTTAACTAATACTTCTTTGAAGATAAATGTTAATGAACTTGATGATATAATTTAATATTATTTAATATGTGGAAGTTAAAAATTCATTTTTCTCAGACTGTGACATTGTTCCTAATTGTTAATATAGAAAACCTTTTTTAAATTAATGAATGCTATTTTATATTAGAGTATGAATTTTCCTTGGGTATTTTAAAACAACATATTTTATATTTTACACTTTTTATAAATTTTCTGTTTCTAAACTAAATATCATTAGTTTTGTCATTAAAAACTTGTGCACTTTTGAGCTGGGGTTGTAGCTCAGTGGCAGAGCACTTGCCTGGTACATGTGAGGCACAGGATTCATTCAATCCTTAGCACCACATAAAAATAAATCAATAAAATAAAGTTATTAAAAAAACTTGTGCACTATTGTACTTACATTTTATTTTATCTCTATTATATAAATATTATTTAAATTTAGATTCAAAGAGGTCTGACTCATTCAAAAAATCAGTTCTTTGTAATGAAAATCAGATCTGTTTAGAAATTACAGGTTTAAAAGAATAAGACATTTTTACTTTCTGAAAAATATTTATAAGTATTACATAGTAAGTATCTTAAATGATCTTGTGCGGGTCATTTACTCCCCTTGCCCTTTCTTGTTTTGTTTGTTTTTGTGGAAGGGTAGGAGTTGAGGTAGAACCACATTACTTAAACAGACAGTGGTCTTTTAAAGACATTTTCTTTATTTCTTTAGTATGTTTAATCTAGTTTTTTAACTCCAGCATTTCCCACCTGACCTACTATTTGCTATAGAGTAACAGGATATTAAAATCTAGTTTTTTTCTATGGCTGAAAGTACTGATTACATTTATTTTTTGATCACTGAATTCTTGATTCAAGTTTCAATTATTGAATATGCCTTTTTAGTTTGTCTGAATTAAATAATTTGAGAAGCTATTTTACAATATCCACTTTTAGTTCTCCTTCAGCTCTAAAAACAATTTTAATGTATTAAGGTTTTAATTTGAAAATCAGTGAATTTCAAGTAACTTGATTTCAGTCAATTTTACTTTTAGTGGTATTCAGGCCATGATGTGTTAAAATTTAAAATTGGGTAGGTAAAGTAAAAATGATGCAAATCTAAACTTTAGTTTAAAGAGAATTAAATAATTCCTTTCATTAGCATTTTCCTGTACTTTTGGCATTTTCTTAAAAATTTAATGTTTTAATTTAGGAAATAATTTATTCTTTACCATATGTATGATTCTATATTGAATTGTGTATATCTTTTCAATGTAAGTTTTGTTTATGTATTTGATTAAGTAAAAAAATAGGTTACAAGGCATCTAAGAAACTCTTTCCTTCTGTTAATTCTGAAAAAAATTATTATATATTCCTTAGCCTTAAAGAAATGAAATTTTATATCATCCACCTATAAACTTTTGCTTAAGTAGTAGTAAGAAAGAATTTTGGGGTTTTATAAGTTAAGATTCAGTTTAATCAAGTCTGTATAAGAATCAAATCAATTTATCTTTGCATTGAATAAAAACTAACTGAACTCAGACTTATACTGCTCTTCCAATAGCATAATATTACTGCAGCTGCTTATTTTCATAATGATGGTAACATTATAGCTATTTCCTTTTAAATCCTGTTTTCAGTAACATTTTATGTTTATACATATGCACTCCCCTCCACACACATGTGATTCATTTTCTAACCAGTTCTGCCTCACTAAAGGAATGAATGTAAGTTAAACCAGTAAAACTCCTGAAAATGTTTTACTTTTTTCAGCAAAAAGCTTCTTCTTTGAAACAATTAGATCTCAGTAAAACTTGTAAGGGATGTCCTTTTCAGGTTATTCTGTTATATTATTTGATCACTTTGGGCTTCCTTAAATATATAGTTCCAAACCTGTGCTAAGTAAATGTGTAGAAATAGTTTGCCTAATTATCTAAAGTCACTCTTTGGTTTGTTTTATTATTTCAAATAACAAGTATTGTAACTTCTTACTCATGATGACCATTTTTTATGTATTTGTTTCCTGTTTCTATTCCTTAGGTCTTACAAAAAAGGTAGGGTTAAGTTATAAAAAGCAAGATAGAGAAAAAAGAAACAATTTATTAATGTATCACAGAATGCTGATAATATTCTTTTCCTTAATTTTTTACTTTTAAACATAACAGAATAGCTATTATAAAAATGTATTTAAAAAATTTTTTGTACTAATTTGTTCAAGCATACGCAGAAGCAGGTGTAGCTCCTGTACTCATCAAGCTTATGGTCTAATAAGGCGAAGAGTAGCACCTACAGCCACAACAATAACATTAAGTTGAGAATCATACAGAAAAATGAAAAATCACAAATGAGTTACTTGTTATTAAGAAAAAGTCATGATGCTAGGAGAGCAAGCATATTACAGGGGCATTTCACCTAGTCAGGGAGGTTGTAAAAGCTGTTTTAAGGAAGTTAAGAAAGGAGCTAAGATCTAAGTAAAAAAAATGAGTCATCTAGGAGAATTAGAGGAGAAAAGTATTCTAGGCTAAGATGAAAGCACATTCAGAAGTACAGTGGCAAGAGAGTACGATACAAAGAAGGGACTCATTAAAAGATAATATTCCTAGAACACTGAATAAGGGAAGCATGATTCAAGATGAAGATGGAGAAACATGTTATACAAGACCATGCATAGCATTGTAGGGCAGGTTAAGTAATTTCAACTTAAATGATGAAAGACCATGAAAGGTTTTAAGTAGGCAAGTGACATGATCAGTTTTTTAAAAAATATATATTTTTGTTATAAATGGATACAATACCTTTATTTTATTTTATTTTTAATGTAGTGCTGAGGATCAAACCCAGTGCCTCACACATGCTGTACCCCTGAGCCACAACCCCAGCCCAACACGATCAGTTTTGTCTTTTGAAAAGATCATTGTGACTAAAATGTGAAGAATAATGTGGGTTAGGAAGATAGGATGGCGAGAGTAGATGAATGGATACTAATAAGGAAGTTGTTGGAGTAATCCAGATGGGAGCTGATAGTTCCTCGGAATTAGGAAGATTGTGATAGAAAAAGAGAGAAGACAACAGATTGAGAGATATGTACAAAGTAAAGCCAATAGAACATGGGAACACATAGTGTATAAGAGATATGGCTGGTCCGAATGCAGTGATGTTTACAACTAATTGATTACATTAGTATGTAAGAGGTATAAAGGAAAGGAGATCAAGGTATTTTAGAAGAAGACTAGGTTTGATGATTTGTGAAAGGGTAGATATTCAGTGTAGTTTTGGATATGTTGTATTTGAAAAGCCTTTGATATAACCAAGAGAGATTTCAAGGCAGACAATTCGATATCATAGTATGGAGCTCAAGAGGAAGTTCAAGCTGGAGTTATAAATGTGTGAATATCTGCATATAGGAATTGTATGAAATTGTGAGCATGAATAGACACTTCAGGAAAAAGCATAGAAAGAAAACATGAGAGGACCTACGATCAAGCCATGAGAAATCCCAAGATGACTGGGATTGCTGCTTGTTAATACTATTTACTAATTCTAAAATATAAAAGCATAACGGGCCCCCAACATATAGAGCATTGATTGTGCAGTGATTTAATTGCTTATAATAGTTTATAGTTATTTGGCTCTTTTTAGTCCAACTTAGAAAAATGGAATGCATCAAGTATATCAGCTTTATTATGGTGGGGAGTGTTGCACAGGAGAGCTACCTGATGGGCTCCTCATTAGTCTTTCATATACTTGTCTTTTCTGATCAAATGTCTTCTCCAAACCATGTTGTACCTTATTGTCAAGAGTTTCATTTAGGTATAATACTGCATTTTGTAGAAATAAGTATTTCTGTAAGCATCTTTCTTGGCTTAGTGTTTTAACATTAAGAAAAATATATCTAAAGTTTAAATATAAGTGTTTTGTATGAAAATGACTTATAAATAAAGTTTTATATACTATTGTATATCAGAAGCTAGGATTAGATAATAATTTGAGCTCTTTAAGAAAGTATAGACATAGAGAGTTTTTTATTTAATATATGTATTTTTTTGCTTCATAACTCCTAGTCCTGGGTAAATGTTGAACATGATTGATTCTCAAGAAACTTTCATCTCCTACTCCTTCCCCAGATAAAAGAAAACAATGTTTGAATTAATAAAAAGTCACCTGTCAGACTACTTCTTTTAACATTGTTAGTTTTTACCTACTCATTTTGAGTAGTGGAATTTTCAAGTTTTTTATCTGTCAGATTGGTAACTATGTTAAATGTTTCTACATAAAATCAGTACTACTAATTAAGATGTTATGAACAGATTTTTTAAGGACGTTTCATGCATTTCTCAAGGAAATTATCCTGCCTGCTGTTTAGCCAGAGGATGATTTTAATTGGCTTAATTTGATTTCCACCCATGTATTTTGCTATACTACTCTATTTTTCTGTTACTTTATAGTCTCCTTTAGAATGTCTTGATGAAGAAATATACCATAAAATTATCCTGGGCCATATTACTAGCCTCTGGTGTGGAAGTGTTTATAATAGACTCAGGCTGTTTCCCAGTCTGTTGTTCTATGGAATAAGGCCATGTGGGGGGTGTGGGTTATCCCACTAGGAAAACTTCAAATTCAATAGAAACTGTTCCTTATAAAGTCCAAGAGTATAGCTTCCAATATAGGCACACTCTGAGTTGAGAGATATCATAGAGTCCTGGCCATGTTTATCTTCAGGGTCTATGAGTCCACCCTTGTTCTCCCAGTCCAAAAGCAATTGCCTAATCAATGCTAGTTTTTGTAATGATGTTGAACAAAGCTGACCTTCCATATTTTTCTCAATATAGTGTGTTTCCATGGGAATCACTTTAGTGGAAGGTAACCTGAGGTTACGTTCCCATGGAGAAAGAGTTTGGATATTCTATTGATCCTTTCTCTTCTGGGAGCTTCTGAAAAAGTTTTGAGGAACAAAGCAATACTTGCATTTTAAAATAATCATTATGGTTGCTGTAGTGAGAATAGAATAGAGGATGGTGGCTTGAAGTTGAAGTGGTTGTGAGAAGAGTTAGATCCAAATATATTTTGAAAGTAAACAGGATTTGCTTTTGCATTGAATATGAGCTTAAAAGGAATACAGGAGGGCTGAGGCTAAGTGGCAGAGCACTTGCCTAGCGCTGGTTTGATCCTTACCACCACATAAAAAGTAAATAAATAAAGGCCATCTATAACTACAAAAAAAAAAAAAAAAAAAAAGAAGAGAAAAGAAAAGAAAAAGAGAGAAAGAAAGAAAGAGAGAACGAAAAAAGAAAGAAAGAAATACAGGAATCAGGGATGGTTCAAGGACATTTGGATTGAGCAACTAGGATGGAGTTACCATTAACTGAGATGGAAAAATCTGCAAATGCAGCAAATTTTAGGGGAGAGAGTAGGAGTTAAGTTTAGACACATCTACCATTGGAGATGTAGAGTAGCCAAGTGCCTATATAAGTTATAAGAGATATAAATTATTATATAAATATTAGTTCAGTGTAAATATAAAAATTTTAGAGTCTTTGCCATATAGATGGTATTTAAAGCCAGTAGAGTGGATGATATCATAAATTGAATTTGTCAAAAGTGAAAAGGATCAGGGACTGAACCCATGTACTGGTGTGGGGGTGGGGCACGCACATGTGTGTATGTACTTAATATCAATTTATTCTTAGTTTGCTTCACATTACTTAGCATCCCTCCCTGGTAAAGACAGAACTTAGGTTATTTTTTTCAAATCATATGAAATCTAAGTTAATTTTCTTTCCAATTTGAGGAACTTTTCACTAAAATTTCTTTTTTTTTTCTTTTCTTTTTTCTTCTGAATAAGGATATAGGTAGCCAAGGGTCATTTATTTAATATTTTGACTCAAAGTATTATTTAGCTTACTATTAAATTAAGAAAATGTTATCTGATTTTTTCTTCTTTTTTTAGGGATGATTTGGTCCGACATTAAAAGACTTTGGTATGAAGGGTTGGAAGACTTTTTAGAAGAATCTCGTAATCAACTCAGTTTTGTCATGAATTCTCTTTATTTGGCAACCTTTGCTCTCAAAGTGGTTGCTCACAATAAGGTGACCATTTACTATTTCAATTGAAATTTAATTCAAAAACACCTAAGATATATAGCCATGTAACTCAGAGTTTCATAGGGCTATATCTTTAGTATGTTTTCATTTTAAAACTATTTGTATATAATTCCCCTTTTTTTTAGTAGTTTAAAGGATGTTACCTTCTATATGGTAGGTACCACGGTTTGATATACTGTGATATTTGGTATACTTTGTCTCATTTTATCCTCATAGGGATTCTATGAGACAGAAGTCCTTAGTCCCATTTTACAAATAAGAAAAATGAAGCTCAGAGATATTAAATATCATATCTAAGTCCACACAAAAAGAAACCACGATTGGATTTAAATCCAGGTCCATATAGGGATTTTCTTTCTTACAAATGGCAGGATTTTTTTTTCATATATATGTTTGAGCTAGGTTCTTTTAGCTCATTAACATGTATATACTTAAAATGAGACCACAAAGTAACTTTAAATGACAAGTATTTTAAATCTTTATATCAATGTGAAAGTATCTTAGTGGAATTCATCATATAGTATTTTACACATTCCAAATCATGCCTGTCATCTTTTGCAGCTTAAAATGGTATAAATGTAATATTTTTTCTGATGACACTATATTTTCATTCAGAATTAGACAAAAATCTAAGTTTGTAGACATCTTAAAATTTTACTTTCCATCAAGATTTACACTCTCCCAAGGCCAGAAAAGGTAATAGATTATATGTTAACTATCTTTATTTAAACCCTGAGTTTAGAATTCTTTCTGGGATAGCATATTTAAGCAACTAAAATATAAAGTATTCTCTGCCTTTTGACCAATTTATTGATTATAGAAAAAGTAAAGTGACTTTCTTATATCAATTTACTTTATTAAAATATTCCATTCCTTTAAATGACCAACAGTGTGCAACACATTGATGAGGTGACTGCAGTGTAAAGTTACTAAGAAAATAAAAATTGGTCTTACACAGATAAATGGTTTGATTTATCTGTGTAAGATAAGATAAAGAGATTGAATGGCATTACTTTTTCAGACTTATCTCTCTAGTCCTATAATTTATTGTTCAAAAAGAACATTTTGAAAATGATAAGATGCTCTATTAATAATTATGCCAGGAAGTCAGACATAAAATCTCAAGAGTGTTCCATGCAGCTGGGACATGTGGACATTATCTAGGTATAGTAATGCACTTTCTTCTTTTTAAATTAAAAACAGCAGGGGACTTCTATGATTTATTCTAGAATCCTAAGTGAAAGGACAAGGTTAATTCAATATAACTAATTAATTGACAGCATTTATGCTTAAAACTTTATGTTGTAGACTTTAAGAAAACTAAATGTTTCATTGCGTAAAAAAGTTTAATGACAAATTGTTTAATTTTTTAAAACCTAAAAATTTCTGGGAATAACTCTTTAAATGACATAACTGATATTGCCTTACATACATGGAAATCTTTTATTAAAACATTATTTCTATTAAAAAAGAAAAAGTATAAAGCATAAATGGAGATTCCCCACAAGGAGACATAATTTAAATAGTTTTCTTTCAGAAATTTCTGAATATTTGTTTTTACTTTCCTAAATTGAGAGTGCTATTCACCTTTGACTTTTTTCCCTAACTCTAGTTTCATGATTTTGCTGATCGGAAGGACTGGGATGCATTCCATCCTACGCTTGTGGCAGAAGGGCTTTTTGCATTTGCAAATGTTCTGAGTTATCTACGGCTCTTTTTTATGTATACAACCAGCTCTATCTTGGGTCCATTACAGGTAAATTAAATTTCTTGAAGAACACTTGTTAGATTTTATTATTACATCTTTCTATGTATCCACTGGAGCATTGTTGTCTCATAATGTTAAAACTAAACTTTGCTTTTGAAAATAATTAATAATTAGAAGAACACAGCATGTTTATCTACTTTGCTTCTGGCACAAAAATAATCCTTTGCTTTCAGGAATTCAGACCTTATTAAGCTATGATTCATCAGCATCCACCCTTCACTCCATAGACACAGATGTGTTTAAAATATAGTTCTATTTCAGACAACAGTAGAGTAACATAAAAACTGCTTTTTATCAAAATGAATCTCACATTTAAAGTAGGAAGTGTTTTAGTTTATTAAGAGAGGTGCAGTGAAAACAAATAACCATAATAATGATTTTGAAAATATGTCAGCTCTGTTTTAAAATATTTTTAAACTTTTGTTTCATAAATAGTAAATGTAATAAGCTAAAAAGTATTATATTTAGAGCTTAAAAATTCATTGATTATATAGTCCAACTTTGCACTTGATAGTATTGGATTGTTGAAGAAATTGAGGTTTTGATATGGTATGTGATTTGTCTAACCAAATGATTGTTATGTGTGAGAATCCAAGACTAAATTCTGTCTCTTTACATCAAAGAAAGGACTCACAATTGGTTTAATTTACCCCACAGAGTGTAGTAATTGACTATTGTAGGTCCAAATCTGCTAACTTATAATTCTGAAAATCTGAATGATGTTCATTTTCCATAGTTAAAATTTGCTAATAGTGGGCTGAGGATACAGCATAGTTGGTAGAATGCTTTCCTCGCATGCACAAGGTCCTGGGTTCAATCTCCAGCACTGAAAAAAAAAAAAAGCTAATAATTTAGATTGCTTTTTATATTTTTAGAGAAGGTATAACAAGGCATAATTACTTTCTCTAAACAGGCATGTGAAAAAGAAAATATGTAGGAAACCCTGATTTGATTAGACCTGTGCAGTAAAACAGAGTTATAGTTAATAAACCAACAAAGGACATAAAATGAATCATTAAAACCAAAAAAGAGGGGCTAGGGCTGGGGCTCAGTGGTAGAGCGCCCGCCTCACATGCATGAGGCACTGGGTTTGATCCTCAGTACCACATAAAAATAAATAAAGATTTTTTAAAAAAAGATAGAAAAACAGGAAAAAGAGACAAAGAATAGATGGGATAAAGAGGATAAAACATGACATCATGAACTTGAATCAGTTTATCACATTAAGTATAAATGGTCTAACCACCCAATCAAAAGGCAGAGATTGATAAATTGGATAAACAAAAGCAGACCCAATAATATACTGCTTACAAGAGAAACACAAAGGCATTAAAAAGAAAAGGACAAGAAATGTACTGTGATGATACTAATCAAGAGAAAAATTAGGCTAATCTTTTAATAGTAGACCCAGTAGATATCAGAGCAAAAGCCAGAAAACAGGTCATTTCATGATAAAATTTCAATTAATTAAGAGAACATAATTCTAAGTACTTATATACCCAATAACAATTTCAAAATACACAAAGTAAAAGCTGGTAGACCTGTAAGGAGAAATATATAAATCCACAATTATTGTCAGAAATTTAATACTCCTCTCTCTATAATAAAAGCAATCAATAGCAAAACAATACTACACAGAATACCTGAATAACACTCTCCCAATCTAGCCCAATTGATAGATCATTTCATTCAACAACAATAGAAACACATTTTTTTAAAGCACAAACGAATGCAATGTATATCATAAAATTAAGCCAGTCAGCAGTGTTTATAAAGCAAATGACCAATTCAAAGCATCTAGCACGAAGAAGGAAAAACTGCAAAGTCAAAGGCAGTGTTACGGTTTAGATAAAAAATGTCCCAGTGCTGGGGTTGTGGCTCAGTAGTAGTTCACTCGCCTAGCATGTGTAAGGCACTGAGTTCGATCCTCAGCACCACAAAAAGATAAATAAATAAAGGTATTGTGTCCATCTACAACTAAAATATATTTTTTAAAAAAGAAAGAAATGTCCCTCAAAAGCTCATATATGAAACAATGCTAGAAAGTTTAGAGGTAAAATGATGGGGTTATGAGAGTTTTAACTTAATCAGTGCATTAATCCCCTGATAGGGATTAACTGAGTGGCAGCTGTAGGCTGGTAGGGTATGGCTGGAGGAAATGGTTTGCTGCAGGCATGCCTTTGGGGTCTATGTTTTGTTTTGTCTGTGGTAAGGTAAGCTGTCTCTGCGTCCTGGTTCCATGTCCTGAACCACTTTCACCACATTCTTTAGCTGTGATGTTCTACCTCCCCTAATGGTCAGAGCAGTGGAATTGGCCATGAATGAACAGAGAACTCTGAAACCGTGACCCTCAAAATAATTTCTTCCACAATTTGTCATGTTAGGGCTTTTGGTCACAGCAGTGGAAAAGCTACTTAAAACAGGCAGAGAACCAAAAGCGCTATACAGATTTAATGGATTTCCTATTCAACTTCCAATGATGTTCTTCATAAAAATAGAAAAGGCAATCATGCAATTTATTTGGAAAAATAAGAGACCCAGAATAATCAAAGCAATCCTTAGCAGGAAGCATCACAATACCAGATCTTAAAAGATACTACAGAGCTATAGTAACAAAAACAGCATGGTATTGGTAACAACATGAAAACCAATGTAACAGAACAGAAGACAGAGACAAACCCACATAAATACAGTTAACTCATACTAAATAAAGGCTCCATAAACATTGGAGAAAAGGTATCCTCTTCAACAAATGGTGCTGGAAAAACTGGAAATCCATGTATAGCAGAATGAAATTTAACCCCTGTCTCTCACCCTGCACAAAACTCAACTCAAATTCAATAGGCATTGGAGCAGAGACCCTGTGCTTACTAGAAGAAAATAAGGCCCAACTTACATCATGTTGCCTTAGGTACTAACTTCCTCAACAAGACTCCTAAAGTGCAAGAAGTAAAATCAAGGATCAATAAATGGGATGGTATCAAACTAAAAAGCTTCTTTATAGCAAAGGAAACAATCAAGAGCATGAAGAGAGAGCCTATAGAATCGGAGAAAACCTTTGCCACCTGCACCTCAGATAGAGCATTAATCTCCAGGATATATAAAGAAATTCAAAAAACCTAATGCCAAAAGACCAGATAATCCAATCAGTAAATGGGCAAAATAACTGAATAGGCACTTCACAGAGAAAGAAATAACAAATGATCAACAGATATATGAAAAAATGTTCAGCATCTTCAGCAATTAGAGAAATGAAAATTAAAACTACAATGAGATTCCATCTCACTCCAGTCAGAATGGCAATTATCAAGAATACCAGTAACAATAAATGTTGGCAAGGATGTAGGGGGGAAATGTATACTCATATATCACTGGTGGGACTGCAAATTGTTGCAACCCCTCTGGAGAGCAGTAAGGAAATTCCTCAGAAAACTTGCAATGGAATCACCATGACCCATTATCCCATTCCATGGTATATACCCAAAGGACTTAAAATCAGCATACTACAGTGACATAGCCACATGAATGTTTTATAGCAGCTCAATTCACAATAGTTGAGCTACGGAACCAACCTCGGTGCCCTTCAACAGATGAATGGATAAAGAAACTGGTATATATACACAATGGAATATTACTCAGCCATAAAGAAGAATAAAATTATGGCATCTGTTGGTAAATGGATGGATCTGGAGACTGTCATACTAAATGAAATGTTAATCCCCAAAAACCAAAGGTTGAATGTTCTATTTGATATGCAGATACTAACATATGACAAGGAGGGAGGGAAAGAATAGAAGTTCAGTGTATTAGAAAAGGAGAATGAAGGGAAGGGAAAGGGGATAGGAAAAGGAAAGACAGTGGAAATAATCTGACATAACTTTCCTATCTTTATATATGAATGTACCACCAGAGAAACTCTACATTCTGTACAACCACAAGAATGGGATCCTAATTAGTATAAGCTGTACTCCATGTGTGTACAATATGTGAAAATATACCCTACTGTCACATGTATCTAAAAAGAACAACAACAACAAAAAAAAAAAACAGGCAGAGAACTTGGAGCCATCTCTCTTTCCCTTCTTATCAGGAATCAGTTGCTTTCCCTGGAGCTATGTTAAATACTTCTACTTATATTGCATTAACCAGAATTGGGGAACATGGCTATTTGAAGCTAGAAGAAAGTCTAAGAATGTTGAGTACTTTTAGTTGAGCTTATTGCCTTCAAAAATTCAAGATTTGGATTAGTCAGAAAAAAGGAAAAATAGATATTGAGTAAGAGTCATATGTTTTAACCTTTTACTAAAGAACAATTCTTTTTTTAATGTTTATTTTTTAGTTTTCGGTGGACACAACATCTTTTATTTTATTTTTATGTAGTGCTGAGGATCGAAACCAGCACCCCGCGCATGCCAGGCGAGCGTGCTACCACTTGAGTCACATCCCCGGCCCAAGAACTATTCTTTTTTTAAAAGAAGTTTTATTGCGGTAAGACACTCTAGTGTTTACCCACTTAAGACTTTTAAGTTAGGACAACATTAAACATCACTTTTTCCTCCTAAATATAAAAAAAATTATTTTTTAATATAAAATTTTCCAAAATTTGTTAAAGCTCTTTTACAAACACTAATAAAAAGAATATTAAATTTTTACACCCTTATACCCCACAAAGTTGGTAATACAGCATTATTTACTGACATTTCTTTAAAAATGTACTGGAAGTTAAAATCAGTACATCATTAAACTTGTTATTCTACTCGTAGCACATAATCTATAATAATGTAAATTGAATTTTCTTTATATGAAAGAAATATTAACCCTACGAAAATAAAAATGAATGGGAATCTTACTTTCGCTCTTTACCAGCTGTGTAATAATAATAAAAAAAATATTTAACTTCTCTGAGCCTCTCTCCATTCATTTGTAATATAGGCATGAAGTATCTTAATATTAAGCTTCTTATAGCATTGTTGTTTACAATAACAATT